AGGACATGGTTGATTGCCCGTGCATCGATCGTGAGGAGTTCGGGTAACTGAGGACAGTATCGCTGTAACATTCTTGTCATTTGGAGTTCACGAGCGTACCTTGAACCAGACATTGTACTTCATCGTCGGGCCATATTTCTCTAGCCATTCAAAATGCAAGGCGAAGTCCTCAGCAGCCATGAGTTCGCTGACATTCCCCAATAGCCAACTCGATGCGGGAGGGCCAGGAAGATCACGCAGGGAAGATGTATAAGGCAAGAGTAAGACTCGGATGATCTTGAAGGCAGCACAGGCAAGCAGAGCGGCGCCCACTGCCCATAGTATGTCGTGTACAGCCAAGGTCAACATGACGCCCTCACATGTACCAGCGGAAGTACGATGGACACCAAATAGATCCCACTCTTGTACTATTCAGTACCTTGCGGGTCCGAGATAACCGGTGTGAGTCTTCGCGCAGCGTGTGACTTGCAGGCTCCATAGCATGCACGAAAACGCGTCAGGCGCACAGACAAGGTGACATTGCGCAGCTATACTTGCGTACTCCGCTCGGCAATGATGACTGCGGTAGCCTGATGTGCGCATGAGAGACAGCCTGCGTGTTGAAACGCGCTGACCCGCGCGGTCAGGAACGAGCTCGCAAGCTCGGGCGCGCGAGTAGCCGGGGGCCGGAGGCCCCTATCGTAGTATATAACGACCCCGCGCGATGTACGTACCGCACGCGATTGTCCCTTACGGGCATCGCTACGCTCGTGGACAAACGCGCCCCCGCGCCGTCGCACCGTTGTTCCAACACTGCGTAGACGAAAAGACGAATAATTCTCATCCCGATCGCGAGTTGTCAAGCTTCAGCTGAGATTCTGGATTCATTGATATCACAGTACAGATGATATTCGAGTCAGACCTGCTGAACTCAGCCCAGCTCTCTGGGCGCTTTTGTCCTGCAGAACGGCGCAGACCGACATAGCGGGTCCATTTCAGAGTCCGACCGCCCAGATCCTACGGAAAGGCGGCGACTGTCCTCACTAGCATTCATGCAAGCCGCTCTTTTGCAGGCTGTCTAGGAAAAGCTAGCTCATAACGCGCACGATGACTGCTCAGCTGTATCAAGTGGTATAACGTCTGCTGTTGGCTGGCTCTTTCTCAACTCCACCGCTGCATCTGCAATGCCTATACATACCAACGCCTCTACATCGTTAGCAGTCTCGCAAGCCACGTCAAAAGCAAAAGTCACACAGGTGCAGAGATGGTTGGGAACGCGCAGGTATCCATACACATTTCTGGTCGTCATTGCGTCAACGTCCGGACCTGTCATCGTATAGTTAAAGCAGCGTCATGGACAAAAGACCTCCGATTGATATCAGCAAGCCCTCCGGCAAAGCCAAACCTTCCCCGCTGGCTGCACAATCTACGCGCTTGCATGAAGTCTGAGTCTGAGCTGGTCCGTCGATTTCGGCAGGATGTTTATGGGGTCCACCGCCGCTGGGCTCATGGTCGCTCGTCGGTCAGCGCGTCATGAAGAAGATGCTCAGCTAACATGTCTTTTACTGGATATCGGCCCTTCCCTACAATGCGCCCATACTGAGAAGTGCATGCATAGCTGCGTCTTTATTGTGTCTATAGTTACAGGTTGTCGCGCTGGTGTCTACACTCCCTCAATTTGCTCATATTCAGTCAGCATGTCTACTCGACACTAACGGACACCGCGGTTGCACGATGACATGGTATGTGACTTCAATTATAGGAAACATTGTCTCGGACGTACACTTAACCGTATGTTCGTCCTAGAGTGACAACTTCTTGACTGCGATATAAACCGCGTGAGGAAGTAGTTTGCTCAGAGATGTATGCAGGCGCGTTCCAGTTTACGCTTAGATAATTTCAGAAAGTGTATTCGATACGGAGATACATCACAGCGAGTCATGATTGCGCACAAACGGAGTTCTCCGTGTGTCTGCGAGGAGAACGAGTGTCAGCTTCGCCATGATCAGAGAAGAAGCCAATGCACGTACCTGCAATCCCGTACTGAGGGTTGCTGCCTACTTGCTCTTGGGCGGCTCGGCGCAGTTGCACGCGGGGTAGGTGCACGAGCCACCGTTGGCCTGGACGTTGGCGCACTTGACTGTGTCCTAAGACAGAGTCATGTCAACGTTGGGTAAAATACGAGAGGCGGCCAGTCAC